TTTCTATAACTTTGTTTTCTTCCTCTGTCAGCTTCCTAAAGTTATTTACCGTCCTTCTTTGGGGCTTTGTTGGAGTGAGTATTTTGTTGGTTCCATTTGGCATTTCATTTTATATCAGTCGTTGAGAAACGACCTTCTTTCACCCTTCTTCTTTGGTTTTTTTATTTTTTTATTTTTTTATTTTTTTTGCTGTAAGGTGTTTCTGCCATCGATTTTGTTAAAGAGTTTGGACCAAATATATTTGAACGTTTCCTGTTCGTTTTCATTATATAACTGTTGGAAAGCCATTCCCTTGGAAATCTTTGGAAGACTAAAATCATATGGACTTTGGAGGAAGTGAAACAAAGAGCTCAGCTTATGTTATTTTACTAGCTTCATCATCACTTGTGCATCCTTCATAGAAAATGGTTTAAACAACATGGACCACTTATTTATCCATTACTGCTATACATCTTTTGTGAGGGATTGGTGTTTGTATTGCTTTCAATTTTTCATTGCTTGTGAGTTGGTTGCTTGTGCCTACAGTTGTTTCAACTCTCTGTGACATTGTTACTATATATATTTTGTGGCATCCGTATAAGTTTGGCGCTTGAAATTGCAATGGTAGATTTCTGTTTCATGCGGCCAGTAACTTGATTTGGATAGAAAGTTCAGTATAAAAAGTGACTCCACTGTTGAGATGTTGGAATAAATGTTTTCCTACTTGAAGAGGATGAAGAATTGATATAGAAAGTTACCCACCTTGATGTGCTTGTATTGAAAATAATATTTTGAAAACAAATATAAGCAGTTAATGACCTACATATAATGACACACACAAATAATAACGGTCATTGACCGTATTAAAGGTGTCCGTCATTAGAAAGAAACAAGGATACTCGAAAAGATAATGCACATTTAATGACGTACATATAACGACTGTTGCCTTTAACGATGGACATGAACCATCATTAAAGAGAAACAACGAAACTAGAATAAATGTCGGTCGTCTGACCGTCATCATTACCATTTAATAACGAGTCATGCCTATCATTAAAAATCAAATTTGTTCGAGTTCTGTTTGAACTGTTGTGCAGTTGCTTGAACACTATTACTTGCTCCTCCCTGGTTGCTCCAAAAGAAGTTTGGACAGTGACTCCAAACAGGGTTGTATGTATTTGAATATGGGTTAAAAATTCCGCTCAACACGTTAGTTGGATTAGCTGGAAAGTTTTCATATAAGTCGTTATTACCCCAATAAACACAAAAATTGTTGGCCTTCCATTGTTAAGTTGCCATATGTGCTTGAATAGAAGTTGCAATACCTAACTAAAAAATTCATGTTGATGCTTGCTTCTTTGACAAAGATCTCCTCGATTCTCGTTGATCGTTGATATCCGTCATTTTATCAAGTGTCTACAATCTTGTTGACCGATTTTTATAGTAATAAACTATTGGCGATTGTGTTTAACATCATCTTTCATGGGCGGTCCAATCCTCTATGTAGTTGCTGGCTATCCATGGCTTGGACAACTTCTCAAGAACTCTTTGAATCACTCCCAAGCTTCATTCACTGCTTCTCATCCTTTTGTCTGAATGCCACAATGTCTTCTCGGAGATCTTCTTCCATCTTTACCTAAGTGGTAATCAAATCTGGTTCTAGAGCATTCAACCACATTCTTATATTATCCATGAGAGAAAAATGAAACAATTCAAGTCTGAACGCACCCAAAAAAATTCCAGGCATTTGAAATGCATTGGCAATTTTAATAAAAAGTTTTAAACGAGAATAAGGATTTTCATTTGTTAATCCCCCAAATTGTCCCATTGTTCACAACATTTGGAACACGACCGACTTTAGCTCCAACTACACAGCTTGGGACAATGGGTTACTCATTTATTTAACTAATATATATGCTAATTTTGTCGTATATTAAATGTTAGGTCTCATGAATATATTAAATAGTCTGCATTAATCCCATTTCCTCAACGTTTGAGATGTCCTAGGATACTCTTCCTCCGATGAATTAACTCCATGTTGGAAAATTTGAAATTTAAACAGGGTCCATTACTTCTCAACTTTAATCTTATACTTCTTGAAAACTTCAAGTTTTTTAGACTTATGTTGAATTAGGTAAACATACTCATTTTTTGAATAACCTTAGGGATGAAGTATTCAAACCCTTATTTTGCTTTATCATTCACCAAACCACCACATAGATTTGAATGTATAAGCTTATTAGGTATTTAACCTTATAGCTCTTTCAAATAAAAACGTCTTGATAATCTTGTATGAAAGGCAATATTTATAGATAGATAAAGTGTTTGTCTATAACTTGTTCAGAGAGCCACTATTTACTTGTATTCTGTCCATGTTGGTTGGAATCAACTGTTAAGTATATATTTAAGAGAAACCTTTTGTCTGTCCGATATGGACTCTATAGTCCAACATAAATATGTATTTATACCTCAACAGTTTTAACCAACAGAATTTTCATATTATTAGCTGAACATATTTTCAAAAAAATTTGAAAATAGAAGTTTTTTTCTTGCAAAATTCATGCTACGTGGACTTTGGTTTATATGATTTTCTCTCGATCTCCTCAATCACCAATAAGAAATTCAATGTTTATTTGCTTGCACAATTCATGCTACGTGAACTTTAATTTGGTTCATATACCTCCATAATTTTCCTTGAGCCTTGGAATAAGAAGTCCCTCTTTGTTTCTTTCAAGGATGTTCCCACTAACCTTGATCCATTATTCGATTCATAGCAAAGAAGATCATATGGAGCATTAAATTGAGAATTTTACAAAGGTAAATTTCCCAATTTATAATTCCGTTGAAAAATTAATTGTCCATTCCCAAAATTTGTATCTGGATGGACTTTTAATTTTGTTTAGAACTAAAGTTTTGTCATGGTGGGGTATTTATTTTTTGTTTTAATTCAATCATGTATGTGATATGTGGTGATATATAATATTACTATTTTTAATGTAGAATGTATTTCCAATCCTTCGAACTTAATAATTCATCTAACATCATTCAATTCGCACGTAGCACGACCGGCAATCGTTTCAACAACGCATATAAATTTTGTACCGGTGAAGGAAATGTTGCAGAGCAATCTTAATAAGAAACATTTAGATCATGTAAACCAAAAACTTACATCATCGTGCAATCCGTCATTGTTTACAAATTTCCAACTGACATCAAAAGTCTAAATTGTTGTAGTGGTGGGCTGCCCTGAGATTCATAGGTCGTTTGGAAAGGCTTCACTCAAAAAGAAATTATGTGGCTGCAAAAGGGTTCCTCTCAAGGTAAGGTAAGGGTGCGGCACCTTGTCCTCCTTCTTAGGGTTCTTCTACTCGCAAAAAAAGATTCACAAATAATATTCAAATGTTAGGGAATCGAGAACAAAAATATCTGCAACAAATTATTTTATTTGGGGCCAATTTGATATGGCAAAAGCTCTTCCCAAATCTGTCCAAATCCAATTATGGAAAGTTTTCTACTTTGACACTTCTTATTCCAACAGCGATAACTTCCTCTTCAAACTTTGGATGGTGGCGATCTTTGTATGCCTGAAAAACTCTTTCAACAATCTTGAAAATAGTATCTAATATGAATATGAACAATCGAAAGGTCAGTAAGATATGATCGATGAAAGTTAACAAAGTGAACTTTCTAAAAAATAGTGCTCACTAAGACTGCCATAACTTTATAACCAATGAATGAAATTTATCGATTTTGGTCTCTTTGAACTAACTCAATGATCTTCTAAATGACACTAGTTTCACTCAAAGTTCAAGTGATCTTCTAAATAACACTAGTTTCACTCCATTTGGATTTTTGAACAATATGTTATGGAATTTCAAAGTCGGGTTCTTGGTTTTTCTATCCGTAGGATTATATCAAATTTTTGGATTCAGACAAAAATTAATAAATTGGGCAATAAAGCTCGGTATAAAGTGAGGTTTTGATTGTTGTAAATATTTTTTAATGCCGAATGAAACAGACAAAACTTTGAAAACTTTAATGTAATTTTGTAATACAAAAACTTTAATGTAATTTTGTAATACAAACCGTTCATGCAATAATTATATACAAAAATAGCCACGCGAAAGACCAAGAACGGGGAGATAAAATTTTGTGGATTTTCGAATAAAACCAAGTAAAGACAAGACATAAAGTAAAATATATCTGATCTAGAGTCTCAGCTCTGATACCAAATGATATTCGACAACCCACAAAAGTTAGGTGAATTTTGATTAAGCAATACATTTTTCTACTCACAATCAATAACATACTTTATCACGAGAGACATATAGTACAACATCATGCTTTGTTATTATGATACATGTTATGTTTGTGTATGCATGCCTAGCTTCGTTAGACGGATTAATTATTGAGTATTTTAAATCCTACTTATATAGTTCATCTTTTTATAACTTTTTAATACGCCATTGAAGTTTAAAATTTGCATCAATATAGTTTATGTGATTAACACGGTGAATTTAAAGTTTATACTACCAAACAACCAAACATACTTGAAACTTAACCAAACTCGTATTCGTTCTATAATATTATTCAACATGGTATGATGTAAGTTTGTATTTGATTGAATAAATAAGAGAGACTCATTATAAAAATTCTGCGATAAAAATTTTGAAAAATATCAATTAAAAGTTCATAAATATATTAAAAAATGTTCATTTAAGTTTAGTAGCTTAGTGGTAAATTAAAATGAAAATATGGAAAAATAGAAACCCTAAACAAACATGTATTTTAGGGAAGAAGAGAGTTTTTAGATAATAAGACAATAATTAATGGTTTGGCTGATTTGGTGGACGAGAAAAGGCTTGGAACCTTTACAAGCAACAAACTTCACAGCAAGATTAGAAGTTAGCCCCATGCAATGTGGAGATGATGAAGTCAAATAGCCATCACGTGCCACATATATGAGCCCCCATCCGAGAAACTTCCAACGGTCTCACATATAAAACCCAATGCTTCTCTCATCTAGATTCATACGATTTTGATTTATTTTGAAAAATACATTTTTACAAAAATATGGCGATAATCAGAACAACGTCGGTTGTGGTAGTTTTGTGGGTGGTTCTTGCTGTGGGGATTTGCATGGAGAAATGCAGGTGCCAGGGTTTACAATCGGAAAAAGATGCGAGGTAATTGATTTAACTACTAGTTATACTACTTTCTAATTCTTGACTCAAAATTAATAAATGTTATGTTTGACAGTGGAGTAACGGTAGGACATATGGAGGCAAAATATAGACGAGGGAAAGAGAAAGTAGAAGCATTTCTTAATGTAGCGACCGAGATCTGGTCCAAAATGACCCCAGAAGAGAGAGAGAAAACACTAGCAACTTTTGCTTATAATGAAGGGAACGAGAAAGATATATGGTCCAGTATGACTCCAAAAGAGAGGGAGAAAACACAAGCGGCTTATACAGAAGCAAAAGTGAAAGATATCTGGTCCCTACTGACTCCAGAAGAGAAAGAAAAAACACAAGTAGCTTTTACGGAAGGGAAAGTGAAAGAGATCTGGTTCAAAATGACCCTGGAAGAGAGAGAGAAAACACTAACAGCTTTTAAGGAAGGAAAAGTGAAAGAAATCTGGTCCAAAATGACTCCAGAAGAGAGAAAGAAAACACTTAGCAGCTTTTAAGGGAGGGAAAGAGAAAGCTTAAGCAAAAGCAACTGCACTATCGTAGAAAAGAGAGAGCGTGAATTAGAGTCAAGCTAATCGTCTCAACTTTTATTCACAAATAATAAATAATTTGGAGCGTCGCCAGACATACGATTATCTCTCTAATATATATATATATATATTTTTAGAAAAATGATTATCTCCTCCTTAGCTTTCTAATATCTTCTAAATTTTCTGGTCGCCTGCATCTAACATGTAGGACTCCATTGAACCAATGCATGTAGGACTACATTCAACCACTCATATTCAAATAAATAAATGAACGTTTGTTTTGATATATTTTGTTTTGTGTTTTACCTATCTACGTATGTTTATTGATTTGTTAAGTAGCTGTCTATTTTGTAAAATTTTACAAATTTTACGCTACAAAAAAATTAAACACCACAAGGTGCGACAAAAACAAATGTTTAATATGTGGTCCAATTATTATATTTTATAATTTCTATTATCGCTTTTTTTTTAATGAGGAAGAAAGTGAGTTGATGGGATTTTTCAACTTTATCGCATCATTATAGACTGTATGCAAAAACCACAACAAATTGATAGACTTTAACTTGGTCAAAATCTTATGGTCTTTCCATTTGCCTTTTACTTGATCTAAACACGAAAAATTGGAATATATTGAAAGAAGTTAGGTTTCTACAATTTCTTTGATATACGAAAGGTCTTGAGATTTTTCCTAATACAATTTCTTTTTTTTTTTACAACTAATTTGTGGATGTGGAGATTTCAACCTCCAACAAAAAAAAAATAGTTAGGAATAGATGTCGTTATCATTACAAAATTCTCATGTTGAGCCCTTTCTCTATGGGTTTGGCACATAGATCGCTCGTGTTTCTTTCCGAGGTGAAATAAATGGAGTTGCTATTAGTCTTGATTTATAGGGTGTGACTAGTCACCCAAATTTATGTGGAAAGGTTATATGGACAAAATGATATGGATTAGGGTCTTTTGGGTAGGGAGGAGGTATCACCACCCCAAAACCATGGTTCAACGAAAAATAATTTATTTTCTTATATGATTTTCAAAAAAAATGGTCTTTAACGAAAAAGAAAAAGAATTTATTTTTATTTTTTAAATGTCTCGTGTTGTATTGATCATTACCCTTGAGGTAAATAATCAGCAATAATTATGAGTGACTTAAAGTTATTAAGAAAATTTTAATTATTTTAATTTAATTTGGCTACCAAAAATAAATTAAGGGTCTCAAGAATATTTGGAAAATCAACCCTCGAATCCTCAAATTTCATTGTAGGATTGGTTTTTTTTTTTTTTAAAAAAAATATAAAAGAAAAATTTAGTTTATTAATTTGAAAATACATGTTAGATTTTTTAAATTCCTTTGAAAAGATTTTTTTTTAATGAAAAAGTGCTCATTAATTCATTTAAAGAGATCGAGTTTGTGATAATTTAAATAAATTAATGAACAATTTTTCATAAAAGAAATAAGATTTGTTCATTAATTTATTTAAATTAATTTTAATTTAAATAATAAATTAATTTTATGAAAAAGTTTCAAAATGAATTGTTCCTCGTGGTAATGAAAAATTCATTTTAGAAGGAAATTTTGATTTTCTAAACAATTTAGAAATCTTGGATCAACATTGAATTTCTGTTTAGAACTAAATTACTAATTAAGAAATTGGGAAATCACCTTTGTAAAATCCTCAATCTAATGTCCCATATGATCTTCCTTTGCTATATGAATGGAAATAATCGACTAAGGTTGTTGGGAACCTTCTTGAAAGAGACAAAGAGAAACATTTGCATCCAAGGCTCAGGGAAAATTATGGAGATAATTTTATCATTGAAAAAGGAGGACATTGATTTATCCCTTCCTAACATTGAAGACATGGTCATCGGTGGCTAAAAACACCCTCCCACAAACTATTGGCACTGTAAGATCTGTTTCACAATAAAAAAATAATGAAATCTGTAGAAAAAATAAATTTATCAACTTTAACAAGAACATCTTCAATTTTTTCTTATTAGCTAATTGCAAAGTTAGAATAGTGAGGCGAGTCTCTCTTACATTTAACTTTTACAATCAGAGGGAGGCATAAGATTTATGCTTGCTTCTAGATTGCATAATGATCTTCCTAGATTCTTACGACCCGTGATGTAACGCCCCGAGTCCCTCAGGTTTGTTAGTCTCGAACCAGGAGATTTTTCATTCAATATTAAATTGATTGTTAATTAAATTTATCTATATTTATCGGGCTCTAAAAATCCAATTAAATCAATATTTACCGAACTTTGTATGTTGGGTCTTGTTTTAAAGGAATGGACTCCTTCTTCTTTGGGCTTGGATGGTTAGGCCTTCATGGATGAAAAATTGATTTTAAAACAAAAGAAAAGAAAAGAAAAAAAAAACTCAAAACAAAA